CAAAACCAGAAAAAAGAGATCTTGATGAATGAAATGAGCCTGTATGGACTGAAACCAAAACAGGGCAGTAGGATACCCTGGCATGTCCCTTGGGGCCGTAGGAGATGGGGTATGTGTGTCAGTAAAGTTACGTCTTGACGCCTGTGGGAGCTGCAGGAGGGACAGGGTTTGAGCCACATGTCCACATGTGGGGCACAGTACGTGTTGTCTTTGAGACCCTTGTGAAAGATGGTGCTCTGGGAGCTGAGTGGTGCCTGAGCCCGTGATCCTCGCAGTGTGACCCATTTGTGTGACCTGTTTCAGTGTTATCAGGTTTGGAGGAGCTGGACTCGCACACAGGTGCGTTTGATCCCCCTTTTTAGGGTTAGAATGATTTAGAGACACTGTTGGTTTTAAATCTTATTTCCCAGTTTTCATTACTGCAACAGCCACAAAGAAGTGGGACATTAGGATAGTCACCTGACTGTGAAACAACGCATCGTTACAGCTAGCAGATGAAGAATTTAAATTTCTCTTGAAAATGGAAGCAAAATCTTCTGAGAACCGAGAACTTCTGAGAAGAAACCAGTCCTTGGCCAATGAAAGGGGCAGTAATCCACAGAGAAAGCTTTTCTAGGGGCTAGATCTTACTGATAGAACTCCTCCTTGGTGTGGTTTAGCAGGATTGCTCTCCAGTGTCTTACAGTGGCACTAGCATGTACGAATTTCCCTGGCACTGACCCAAGTTAGGTTATGTTCAGTTTTGCAGTTCGATGATAACATTTTGGCTTGCGAATCCTGCCTAAGTAGTCCAGGCAGGATTACCTGAATATTTCTCACTTGAACACTTTTTTTTCTCCTCCTTTTATACAAATATTGCCACTGTTAAGACTATTGGGAAATAAAAACTACAGAAGCAAAACTTCTTTCAGGGGTTGCTGCTTGAATCTTTTTTGGAATATGTGGTTTGTCCTACTGCTATGAGATACCAGCTTTCCAAAGGACACTTTGGGACATGGTTTTGCAGGAACTGCTGGCAAATGTTGCTTTTTTGATGGCCATCAAAAGAAAATAATATACAAAAACAATGATAGGGTTGTGACACTGTTTTTTGGAGAAAGGGATTTTTCATCAGTAGAAGAACTGAACTTCTTACAGGCTGCCAAATGACTGATATTTTTGTTACTATCCATCATTTGAACTTCTGGCATGAAGAGGGGTACAATTAAGACTCCCTGGAGTTCCCCCAACCGTGATTGCTTTTTAAGTCTATTAGATTGGTGTATCCTCTATGGTTTGTATATTTTTGTTAGGAAATGTTGTTAGGAACCTTTTTTTTTTTTTCTTTTTGGTTCTCTTCCATTTCTATTAGATTCGCACATTGCTCCACCCACCATTTGGAACTGACCACAACTATCCTCCTTCAAAGGCTGAGCATAAGAGTTATTCATGTTGCAGTTGGAAATATTGTGGAAAAAATATACTGCAAACAGTAGGCCAGATGGAGAATTTTACAAGCATCTTTTTATGTGTCACAACTACTTTCAATGCCACTGCCCCTAGGTCATGGGCTCCCTGCTCTCCCCACTGTCGTTCCTTTCTCCTTGGCTCCCTTCCAGCACCAAGCTAAGTTTCAGCCAGGGCAGAAAGGGAGATTTGGAGTCCTCTGAAACTTCCAGGGTGTATTTTGTGTGGCGGGGCTGGTGAGAGCAGGCTGGGTGCGTGGGACCGCAGCGACGAGCGCTGGGCGCTGCAGCCGGCAGCGCAGCCGGCGCTGCTCCCCGCGAGCGCCGGCTCTCCCAGCTGGAGATGGGAGCGAAAGCTGCCCCGGCTCCTCCAGCCTGTGCCCGGCCTCCGAACCTGGAAAATGAAATCTGTGCTGAAGCACAGTGCTTTAATGAAGGGTGAGGGGAGAAGTGTGTGTACATGCATAGGTAAGCATAAAATATATATTAAATACATGCACAAGCATACGGTGTGTTCTAGTCCCCTCAGTGAAAAGCCATGTGTGATCGCTCTTGCTTTGAAAGAAGCCTCTTTCAGTTTGGCATAACCTGTTTACTAAGTATTGATTTAAGCAACAGTAAAGAAGTCACTCAGGAAAGTGTAAATTCTGCATGAATTCCATGTGTTCCAAAGTTAGCGCTATTTCTTCTCACAGACTGGGGCTATCTGGACTAGTAGTTTCAGGTTTTTGTGTGGGGAAGTGCACATGGCTCTTTTCCCAGCAAATTATTACTGGATTACCCAAAGAGTAGTCAGTTTGGTAGGATTGCCTTTTCCAAGGAAGAAGCATTAAATGAATTTAATTTTTCTCTTGTTTCAGGATAATATCATCTTATTCCTGAGAGGCTGCAAAGAGCTGGGGCTTAAAGAATCTCAGCTCTTTGATCCGGGTGACCTTCAGGACACTTCAAACAGAGTAACTGTCAAGTAAGTACAGTAGCAGTTTGCAGTGAGTATGTTGTGGCCTCAAGATGCATGTGACTTAATAGTAAATATTTAAGAATGAGCAAAAAGGCTGGAGAACTTGTGTATGTGTACACACCTGTGTATGTTCATGTGTATAAAGCAAGCATAAAGCTGAGTTTTTCTGAAACCTGCAGCACAGGAAAGAATAGACCATTCTCTTCAGCAGCTTTTCTCCAAAGGCAAAGGCAATCTTCTTTGTTTTTTTTTTTTTTTTTTTTCCTTGAGAGATGAAGCACAGCTCTTTTAAAACACTTTTTTAGTTCAGACACTGAGATCGTGTGGGGCTTGGCAGGTGGCAGGTGGGTCTAAACCGATAACTTTCTTTTTGTTCCTCTATTTAATGAGCCATGTAGGCTGGAGGAAAAAATCGCTGCTGTGCTATTTGAGATCCAGCTGTTTTGAAGATTCATTTTAGGACTATGTTGACTTTGAACCATTAATTGAAGATCTCTCAGAACATGCAAGGTGCAGACATGAGTGTTGCCTCTGTATTTTATAAGGAGAGCTGTGGGTTGTGACACAGTGCTGTCTCTGAGCTGTGGACTCTATGTAAACCATATGAACTTGGAATGTCAAGTTTCAGATGCTTTTCTACCCCATCCAATACTACCACAAACATGTGCTTTATTGCTGCATACTGTTCAGGTATTAATGGATTCTCCTTGCTAATAGCTGCTAATAGCTCATTTGCTTTTTTCCCCTCTTTTCTTTGGCTGATTTTTTTAAGTCTCCATTTAATCAACAGCTTGCTTTGTCATGCTATGTTCACATCCCTCATTACTGTAAAGATTTTGAAGTGCGTGGACTCTAATGCTTAAATTCTGAGCAATTCTATGAAGTGGTGTAGAATACAGATGAAAACTATCACAGAAAGAATTACTGACTTGCCTGAGGTCACACAACACAGGCATGAATCAAAGTCTGTATAGTCATAGACTGGTGTCTTAAATATGGACTTTGTCATCATGGACTAGAGGAACAGAAACAGTATTTTCCTCTCATTTGTACTAGTAGAAATCAAGTGTTTCCATCTGTCCGCCCCCAAACACACATAAAATAACACAAAATGTCATAAAATTAACAAGACTTTTAATTGCTGTTACTTAAAAGTTCTGAATTTTTGAGTTCTGGCGTGTGTAATATTAAAATGTTACTGCTCTGCAGACAGACAGACACTACTGAGTTGCGTGAATGGCCTTGCTTCATTTGGCCAGAAAGATCACTAAATAAATCCTGGTCAAACACATCCATCTTATGGAAACAATTTGCTAAATTTCAGCAGCATTCTAGTTTTTTTCCCTTCTGGCAGTGAAAGCTGGGCAAGTTTTCATGGTATTCAAGCACTGTCTGGGAAAATTCAAAGGTTCTGAAAATCAAATTGGCCACTTTCCTTGCTTTGAGGAATAGTCTGCAGCTTTTTTGCACTTTTCCAAGTTTCTGGCTCTGAGCATGAGACACTTCTCCCATGTATGTACCAGTGAGAGGGGACATATAGTGAGCATGCAGCGAGGCTCTCCCAGCCTTGCTCCAAGTCTGGCAACCTTGCAGTGGAAGGGGTTCCTCATGGCAGCCTTTCAAAGCACAAGAATGCACGGCTGGAGAGGGTGCTGAAACAACCCCTAGTCTCTGTTTAAAAGCATAGAGAAGTGGTGCTTCTACATGAACCTTGGCCTTTTGGAGCTGAGGACAGCAGAGCATCTTGTCGGAGGCTGGTGCAAAGGCTGGGACGAGCTCGCGGCTCCCAGGAGAGCTGTCCAGCATATAAGCAAGTCAAAGCAAGAGGAATATAAGCAAGTCAGACCAGGAGGAATATAAGCGAGTCAAAGCAGGAGCTGGGTTGGCCCGCAGCTCCCTGAGATGCTAGGTAGATGTGAAATGCCTCCCTGGCAGGGATTTTTTCCCCCTCGACTGTACCGAGAAAGCAGCTGTGGAAACGAGCCAGGAGCTTTCGTAGCGCTGTCCAAGTTCACGCTGAGCAACCGAGCGAGGTGCGCAAGCCAAGTCCATGACTGCTGTAGAGAAATATGTTCAAGACTGTCTTCTAACTAGATCCCAAAATGTGAAGGTGTTTTTTTTCCCCCCTCTTTGAAGACTCTTAGGTTGTTTTTAAACACAGTAAAAGCATTATTTGTTCTGTGGCTAAAGATGAATATGGCATTATTTCACATGATTAAGATAATGGCAGATTTTAAGCTTTTTTTCATATATATGCTAATATAGAAGTATGCATTAGATCTATTTTTTTGATATTTCAGCTTATAAAAATTATGAGCTAATGCTGTAAAGAATTTCTTCCCGACTTGTTAAATGGGACTCTTTTCCACTGCTGTTTTATTAAAAAAAAAGGACTGTTTTATGTTTCTTAGTGTGTGGGCATTGATTAATAAAATTTTGGCTTAAAAGGGGTGTTATCAAAACCCACTTAACTTTTTTTTCCTGTTCTCACAGATATAAATGCATTTATTTTTGGTTTTGTCATTTTGTCAAGTAATTTTTGGTACTGGACTGGACTTACACTTCCAGTAGAAGACAATTCCCTTATCTAATAATCAGGAGGCAATCTGTTCTAAATCCGAATGTTATTTATTTTTAGCAGCTAAGAACAATACACATTCGCTTCATTCCTTTTTTTTGTAGCTTCTTTGCTGACTTTTGGAGTGTTGCTTAGGTTCATGCAAAACTCATGCTTTGTTGCTTCTAACACAAAATTTTGACCCTTGTTGAGGAATGTTGGTACAAAATAAATGCATCGGATGCCAATGTTCAATGTGAGTGCTTGAACATACGTTCATAAACCAGAATGTGTTTTCCACAACAGGTTCTGTTGTAACTGGCAAGATCTTCGTTGGTTCTTCCATCTTCCTTGTTCTTTGTGATCCTTAATGGCTTGGAAACACCTGCTGTGTTTCCTTAATGTTTGTGTTAAATACCTCCTTGTCATATGCATGCGTATGCATGTCAAATGCATGTTGAGTTGGTTTCAAAATCTGTATGAGTTGCATGATTTAATAGTGAACAGAGTTTGACCATTAGATTAAAGCAGACTGTATTTTAGCAGTGAGGACTTTGGTCTTCTTTTTGGAACCAATCAGCAACTCTGTATAAAGGAAATATTTTTGGCACTCTTTTACTTTATTGTTGGACCATTACAAACACATTTTCTTTTTGTACTTCCAGAATCCTAATTTAATGATTGAAGTAATGGTGACAAAATACTCCCACGTTATGAATAAATGAATGTGTGAACTACATCTTCTTAGCTTTCATGTGTTTCCAGCCAGCAGAAGCCTTCTGCAGGCTTTTGCTAGGGAAAACGTGATCTGCTGCATACACGCTCTTGGAAAGTGTGTCTGCTTTCTGATTTATTTTTCCTCTTTTTCTTTTTCTCTGTGTGTGTGCAACCAGGAACATTGACTATAGTAGGAAGCTGAAAAATGTAAGTACATAACTTGGAGTATTTTTTTTTATCTGGTTAATCCTGGTTTTGGCCTGAGTTAGAATTCTGTCAGTAGAAGCTTAGTATGGTTGAGTATCACTGAAAAGTACTTTGGAACACAAGTGTAACCAGCTCTACTGGAAATTTACGCAGAGCTACTATGGCAAAATATACTTAGAGCAGAAATAAAATGAAGAATATATATCTCTGCTGAGGTGAGAAGTGAGCAATGTAATCTCTGCTCTCCCTGCTGGTTTTGGCTGGGAGCAGCTAGGCTCACGACTGAGGCTACGCTGCTGCAGCCTCTCATGAATATACTAGGCATAAGGTAAATTTGCACAAAGCATTTAAAGTGAAGCAGAAGAATCATACTAGATGGGGATACACATCTTTACTATCAGGCTTGCTAGCTTTCTCTTGGTTCTTCCAAACAAATAAGTGTTTTCCCAAGAAAGCTAATTCCATTTTACTTTAATTTCTTGTTGATTTAAGCTAATGGCAGTAGTAATGGATTTAGTAACTGTTAATGCAAAAGGCTAAACTGTGCTGGCCTCAGAGTTAGTTATTCTTCTAAAGCCTAGCAAGCTGCCTTTAGTCAACTGTAAAATACTGTAAATTCAATTTTATATTTGGCTGACATCCCTATAAACTGTAAGGAAATGCCAAGACCTTTTCCTAATAACTCCTCTGCAAGCCAGTAATCATGGTTACAGGTAAAAATCATGCAACTAATTCATCCCATCTTTCCTGCCATCAGTACAGTAATATCTTCTAATACCTGAAGTTGCAGGGGAAGAGTTCAGCTTTGGTATTTTGGCAACTTTGAAGCCACTGGTTAAAAATCTTTGCATAAATTTATTATTTTAAAGTAAAGGTAGCTTTCAAAAATGCCCTCCACCCTGTGTTTGTAGGCAGTATATGCTTCCCAGGTGCATGATTCTGTAATCTTGGCTGGTAGCCAATGACAATTGCCTGGAAATGCAACATTATTTTGAAAAAAAAGTCAGCTGGGGTTAAAGAAAGGAAGAGGAGAGAGAGTGATCAAATGCTCACAGAAATACTCAGAAATACCACAACCTTCATCAGAGAACTGGATAGAAAAATGAATAGGACAGTTTCTGAGTTGTTAGGAGTATGGTATCTGCAAGTGTTCTCACTTAACTTGAGAACATTTACTGTAAGAAATTTTTACATACATTTGTTATTTTGTGCAGAATAGTGCTGGTTGAAGGAAAGCAGTTCAGATCAAAGTTTGTTTTTTTTTTTTCAAGAAAAAAATCAGTATTGGCAAAACCAGCTCCTTCTCCTCAGCACAATTGTATCATTTTGGATGCAATTTCAAAATGATAAAAAGAGTGTTATTCAGTTATTTCATGGCATGTATGTTATTTATCTTACACACCACAGTTGTGCTATGAAAGAAGCAATCTGTATGACACGAGGTCTTTTCTGGCAGGGCCTCAGCTGGAGTGCTATGTGTGACTTTGGACTTCACACTTAAATAAGAGATAGGGCTCTAAGAAAAGAAAGTTGATGGGAAAAAGGATAATCTAAAGTCTGGCATATATGACTGAGGAAAAAGTATTGAAGCAAATATATGATTGAGGGAAAAAAAGTGCTGAAGAAATTTGGAGAAATCCAAAGAATTGAAGATATCTGAATGCATTAGAAAAGAACAGTCTGATGGTCCATCCTGTCCTGTCCCATCCCTTCCCCCACACCTTCAAATTTATTCTACATCTATTTTCTTTTATGTAATATGCATTATGTAGCCCTGTCTGATCAGTTCATAAAATACTGTATTTCAGTTTATTTACTTTCTTAAAATAGTTACTAGCAACTATTGTAGGCAGCTGTTATTTATTACTGGTTGCACATCTTCCCCACATCAAAATATTATCTGTTTGTTCTTCAGTGAAATACTTTACCATGGAGTTATGCAGAAATAATGAGCATTAAATGAGAAAAATTCTCTAAGTGATGAGGTGATGTTTTGACATTTTAGCTCTTGCAAAACATTGAGCTGAACTACTTTTGCTGCTCAGTTTCAAGTCCAAATTGCAGCTGCACAGGTACCATTAAAAATAGGGCAGCTGGATAAGTGCAGATATATGTGGATCCAGAGGAGGCAGTTTGCTTTCTTTGCATTGTATAAACATCAATGAGTTTGGAGGTATTGGATTTGATCATGCTGAGCATCATAATTTCTCCTTTCCTAGAATAATTACAGCATCAGCAGAGCCAGATCGAATTCCTCTGCTGCCTCAAGGAGTGAGAGGGTGGATACATTTGCAAGTGCAATCCTTGGTGCATATGAGCTAGTTTTTGATGTGATTCTTGAGTTATGGAGAGGCATTAAGTCAGAACTTAAATGACACCACCAACTCTTCCTACTTTGCTGTAAGAGAAGCAACCAGATGCACGTGGCTTTTGAGCTGCGCAGTTCTGAAGTGCAGGCACTGGAAGGCACCACTGCAGAGTCATCTTGTTAAATGTGCTGAGATGATTCCAAGTGGAGCTACCTTTTCCTTTCCTGAAATGGGCAGGCATACGTTTCAGACATTTTATTTATTCCATTATGCATAACTATTTTAATTAATGAATACTAATATTAGTACTCCTTATCTTTTTTTTCCTGTGGGATTTACAAATGGGCATATTTATAAGGGTGTTTCCTGGAGTCCTTCTTACTTGACAGTAGTTTCAAATATTTTGTCTAGTTTTTCTATTCAAATTTATTTTTATTGTTTACTTTTCAGCAAGACATGAGAGTTTCAATTTGTAAAAAATACTAGGTGGATAGTGTGTTAAGTTACCTGTTTTGCAGGACTGTTTCAATATTTATCTGATATATTTACATGTAACCATTGAGACACGCTTCCCTCTCAATTTGGATTTATAATGTGTTGCTGTGAAATTTAGAATAAATGAGATATGCTTAAGGGAGTTAAATATAGCTAAGTAACTGTGTAGATGACTTCGATTAATTCTTTTTAACTTCTGCAGGTATTAGTCACCATTTATTGGCTAGGGAAGGCGGCAAACAGCTGCAGCTCATATAGTGGATCAACCCTGAACCTGAAGGAGTTTGAAGGTTTGCTGGCACAGATGAGAAAGGTATCTTTTATTATGTTTTGGGAATGGAAATTTTTTTCAAATTATTAGTCCCATAAATACTCTGTTTGTTGCTACTTATGAAAGAGATGGTAGGCTGGAGAACAAATTACTTAGTAAACCCCTACCTCCTTTGAAAACGTTTCTGACTGTACCAAGCTGTAAACACAGCTTTCTTGGCAGCTGGCCCTGTGATGATATTAATGATGAAGCACTTGATGTGAAACAGGGCTTTAGAACTGTCACGTGGCTCTGTCATCTTCATTTCCGCGGTCTTTGGTTTGAATTATTTTCATTTATGACACGGTTTCGGCTAGAAGAGCTGAGACTCAGAAGTGAGTGAGCTGGACCCGTGGGACCAGAGATTATTTTTTCTTTAAACGTTCAGGCTTATGGGCAGCTCTTTCCTTATTCAGTTTCCAGTCGCAGTGCAAAGCATCAAGCCAAGTATCAAAATAAAGCCAAGGGCCTGAGGGAATGGAGTGCCTTTCCCAAAGGGCATGGCTGTGTTGAACCTGTGTTTTGCCGTGCTCCGAACTCTTGCAGCAAACAGATGTTGGAAGTGGCCCGCGGTGAGCGGGGCTGTGCTGGAAAGGCAGCGCTGCTGGGTGGCTCGGAGCGGCTGGCTGAGCGTGACGGCGCGTCCTGCACCCGCACCGGGGGCTCTGAGCCCCAGCAGTGCTCAGCGTTGATATCCAAGCGGGCCTTTCCTGGGGATGGAAGCGGGCAGGAACAGGCGCGTGCGAAGACAGCAGCCCCCTGGGCTAATGTTGCTTGTGTTGGCCGTGCTGCTCGTAAAGGAACAGTGGAAAAGGAAAGGCAAAGAGAACTTCCTGCTTCTCTGCAGAGGTTTATTTTTTGTCCTAATTTGAAATAGCTAGTGCAAATCACTCAGGATTTCGCTGCTCATGAGTGCTATGACTGAGACTAAGCAACAAAGAAGTAATTTTTATGTGGATGGTTTCCAAGTAGGAAATAGTGGGAAGAAGCAGTCCTTGCTCCTGAAAGGTGAAGCGGACAAGGGAGCTTATGCAGAAAAACTGTCAAGGTGCAGTTTGCTGCAGTGCTAGTGCCACATGGTGTCATAGTTTCATTTTTAATATTGAATCTCACAGTGTGAAGCTCTTCTGAGTTGTATTTACCCGTTTAACTAATCGTTAGAGCATTTAGGAGGTCCTCGTGGGTTCTTTGGGTGGGTTGAGGTAGCCTGGGCTCTAAAGGCAGGCTTGTCAGCAGAGCTGGTAGGTAGCAGTGTGTGCTTGGAAGAGTGGGGCACTACAGGTAGAAGACAGAAGAAGAGGCTGGACTGTGATTTGTTGCAGATGTTGGAAGTGGAAGCAGCACAGAGACCTCATAAAAGCTGAAAGCTATATATTCTTTTAATGTAAAAACAGAGCGCTTCTCAGTCCTCAAAAGTCTGTGTGGATGGTGCTGCTACGAGAGCAACTCGCTTTGTAAGTTTTCCTCTCTGCCCTGACACCCCTTCAGCATTTCAAATTGGGTCGTCGGGTCTTTTTCGTTACTGAATTTGGAGACGATTTGATTGTAAAACAGAACATGCTAATCATGCTGTGTAACACTCTGATGTTTCTTTTAGCTGAGACTGAGTGATGAAAAGACACTTTATTACATTCTCTACTGGCATTTTTTTCCACAGAGTTTAATAATTAAATCGACCATAAATAATAGTTCAGTCTGTTTTAGTTTTTCTGTTATAAATCCTCTCTACCCCCTTTTTTTTAATAAACAAATCAAAAGACAGCTCGGATGCAAGTTGTCTCGGATCCATCTTTTTCTACTTCTCAAAATGAAAGAGCTATTCATTTCTAATTTTATTCATGGCTACTCTGTTTTTAATTTCATTAACTATTTGGATATGCATTCTTCTTTACTTTAAAACTGGAAATTCCAAGCGTCTAAATGTCGCTGGTTTTGGTTACATTCGGAGGGTTGAGGTTCGTGGAGAAATGCATTTTCTATTTGGCAGTCACACTTTCTATACCACTTGGTGACATGTTGTATTTCTAATTAGGTCATGTGAAAGACCTAACGTGCTGTTATGGCGTTATCAGCCCTGCAGATAACCACTCTCTTTTCCCCACTGCTAACGTTTAGGAGACGATATTTGTTCCATGCAGGACAAGTACTTGTTCGTGAGACGGCGTTTCACTGGGCGAGTAGTTTGCCAAGGGGAAGGCTATAAAGAAAGGCCGGGATACCATCCTGGTGCCTGCCTCCTAATTCCTGGTGATTTGCATGCAAAATTAACATAAACAGCCCTTTGAAAGTCGGGCAGCAGCACTCATTAGTTCACAATTGGCCTCTTTTCAATCTCTGAAAAGATAGTGAATGCAGGATGGGACTTTCTGCCTTGCTTTAAGTCCTGTGGCTCTCTGTCTTTCTGTGTCTTTCAAATACAATAATTTAAGAAAATGGAAGCGTGCCTGAGGATTGAGAATAGCCGATCAGCATGAAGAGACAAGGAGATTTAGAGAATTTGGATTTAAGAAAGCTTTTTGGGTCGTTTCTCCAACAGGATTTTGATGGGATTTTTGGTTTTGTTCCTGGGTCTGTGTAAATCATGCCGACTCCAGGGAGACAGATCTTTGTTGTCTGGGGTTTCTCTGGGTATTCTGGTTCACATGCTAAGCAGTTTTGCAGGAATGTAGAAGGAAATTACATGGGGTTCAGCTACTATTTTGTTAGATATTTTTTGTTTGCTTTTTGAAAGATAATTTCATTTTGGTTTGCAGTGAGGCTGCTTTTTGGCATTACCACAGCTTAGCTCGGCCTTAGGGAACCTTTGCTGCTGTCCTTGCCGCAGTGTTTTGGCCAAGCGCTGGTGAGTGGCACTAATTAAGGCTTCCTCCTGGAAAGTCTGCAGGATGCTGGGGCCGATCTTCCCCTCCAAGCTGCCCTCTTTTCCAGCGTGGAAGCTTCTGTGCGATATCGCAGCCCTCTCCTCCCCTCCAGCAGCCCTGCTTTGTCCCCCCGCTGCAGCGTGCGGGGAGCCTCTTGCTCGATCTGCTCACGGCAGCACTGGTAGCGGGTGAGACCTCGGCAGGCAGGGACAGCAGGAGCTGCACTGAACATGGCCATTATGCTCCAGCTAGCTGGAGCCAGGGGGTGCTTTTTAATTAGGAATTAATATTCAAATGCTTCTGGAAAAAAAATGCATTCCAACCTCTTTGGGTTGCAAAATGTCAGTCTGATAATAGCACCCACATCTCAGACTTTACTTACTGTCGGGGAAGAAAAAACAGATTTATCTTTGAATAAAAGTAGTTATTTTTGGTTTTCTCTGCCTGTGCTATTGTAATTAATGGTAAGACACTCACTGAAACAAGGGTTTTATTATAATGCAAGGGTGAGGATGGCTTCTATTGACCTTTCCCTCTGCTGGAGTTTCAGTGTTTTAGTATGTGCTGCTTGCACTGGAAAGAATTTATAATCACAGGGCTGTCAAAGACAACCATTGTTCTCACTGCTCTGAACATGTGGGTCAGCTACAAGTGCTTTCATATCCCCCAGAGCCGGGAGCTGGCAAAGAGTAAAGAGCACAACTGAATTCTTCTGAGGCATCAGGAAAAGCATTTTGCATATTTTTCATTGCTGATTGCTTCAGAAAGACATCCCTCTTTCATAACAGGAATTTCTCCTCAAGGTAGAGGGAGGCTGAGGCACACAGCCTCATTATCTTGCCGAGCTGAAGCAGCAACAACAAATGCTGTCTGCTGGTGTCCCAGCCAGATACAATAGTTAGGCAAGGGGAGGAGAGGGAAGCTTTTGGAAAGCAGCAGACGTAAACGGGATGCAGGCAAGATGTTAAAACTATAGTGCTTTTCCCTGGGCTATGGACTATGGACGGCAAGTCAAATTTCAGGTCTCTCTGTTTTGATCAGTTTATTAACCCATCTATTGTGGCTTTTTGAATTTCAGATCGTCACACTAATCTAATGAGCATGGTTTCTTCTTAATCAGCATAAAATTGGGTTTTATTGCAAGCTTGTGCTTCTGCTATGAAGGGAAAAGGGGCAGAAAAGAAATCCTTTTTGGGGGAGGAAACTCTTAGTGCTTTAGAAGATGCTTTGCAGTTGATGTGTCTCGCTGGTGTGTCGGCGGCCCCTTTCTGAAGAGGTGCCTGCTGTACTTGCGTGTAGGAGACGGAGGATGTGGAGAGCCCAAAGCGCAGCATTCGTGACAGCGGCTACATAGACTGCTGGGACTCGGAGCGCAGCGATTCCCTCTCCCCACCGCGCCACGGCAGGGATGACTCCTTCGACAGCCTGGACTCCTTCGGATCCCGCTCCCAGCAGACGCCATCCCCAGATGTAGTGCTCAGAGGAAGCAGTGATGGTGAGTACGGGCGCGCGGAGGCACGTGCGTAACTTTTATAAGCAGTGTTTCTCGAGTCCATATGCTGTTCAGCAGCAGGACACAGCCCGAATCCTGCTAATCCAGCGGGAGAACCTCTCTGTGAATGCTGATTTAGGCTTTCCCAGGGCTGAGATGACTTTGCCAACAACTTCGCTGAAATCTGAGTTAGGGTAGCGTAGTGTTGGAAAGTGAATTACATCATAGCAGTGTAATTTAATGATAGGAAAGTGCTTGTCTGGCCTACTGTGTAAGACGATGTTGTGCAGATAGACTTTAATTTACAAGCTAGGCAGGAGCAAAGAGAATAGCATGGGATTGGGGAGGTATTGAAGTGAATACAATTCTGCCTAAGTAAAGCCTGGACAGCTAGATGAAATAAAGGAGTATTTTGGAAATGACTGATATTGGACAGCCTTTTGAAGTCCAATAGAGAACGTCTTGACAACTGCCGTGTTTGTGTTTCCGTGGCATTTAGCAAACTGGTAAGAGAGCTCCGAGCGCCAGAGCTGCAGTTGTCTTTGTGCACCTTTGAGTCTGGATGTGCAGCTTTTGGCTTGTGGAAGGGGTGCTGCTTCCCTGCCTGTCCTGTGGAATCCACAGAAGCTTTCTGAGGCTTGTAAACACAGGGCACTGGGTGTAGAAGTGTTCAGTAGAGAGTAAATGTAGAGCATGTGCATGGTTACCTGTTTTGATCTGGACTCCAGAACAAAAAGAGGTTTGATTTGGGCTCCCTCTGCTCAAGAGGGGTGGGTCAGTTGAACATCATCGTTGTCAGATGAAGTTATATTCCACATGTGAATCACTTCTCTGACACACATTTATTTATTTATTTAATAAAAGAAAAAAGAAGGACGGGGAGACTTTTTGGCAGGAATCAGATGTTCACATGGCCTTTGGCAGTGTGAAATGAGCTGCTGCTAATCATAACCGGATACATGAGAGAACTGCTGAGGTGATGAGGAACTCCTTAAAACTGCAAAGCTGGCAAAGGGAGTTGGTATCGGAGATGTGTTATTGAAAAGCTGTGGGGACAGCGGCGCTGAGTTCTGCTCTGCTGTTTTTGAGTGGCATGTGGAGCTGGGGCTGCTGCAGATAGACCATCTGGATCCAGATCCTGGGACTGGGTCCCTGAGATCTGGTATCCCCAGGCACTGAACTGAACACGGCTGTAGCAGGGGAGTCTCCGCATTATGAAGCATTTCTCTGCCTACCTAAGCTAGGCAAAAACCCAGCACTGACAAATAGGAACAACTCGCATGTCCTGATCAAGAAGTGTTGCTCTGGTTTGGGCTGTCAGGGAATATCCAGTGTCCCTACCTATTTGGAGCTGCTGCCTCACTGTTTACACATGTCCCCTAGCCTCTTCCTATCAGCTCCTGCAGCAGCAGCACATTTCAGTAGGACTCTGTGGTGGCTTCTTTGCCACAGCTAAGGCATACTATCTTGTCCCATTTTTGAGCGCGTAATACAAGACACAAGAAAAGATGCAAACGTACAAAGTTTGTTCTTAAAAATTAGTCTTTAACCATATCCAGACCCTGGGTGCCTGCAGATGTTGTGTGCGTGTGTATGATGTGTCCAGCAGGCCCTTTCCAATATGTCCTTGCTGGCTGCTGCAATAATTTCACAACTGTTTCCTCCAAGAGCTGCAGCTGAGGTGTAGCTTGGCTGACCTCCTCTCTGCCTAGCCTTTCTCCATGGCCCCAGCAGGCCAGTGTTTCATTCAGCTGGATGTGATTTTGATAGAAATAATGTATATGCAAAATTGGATGCAGGAGATGATTTTGCTTTCTTTCCACCTCCTGCCTTTTAGATAACAGTTTTATAAACCCAAGAATGTGATAGCAGAATAGGTTTATGGCTCCTGCTATTCTTAGAAAAAGAGAAATTGATGGAGATCATTTAAGTAGCTCTGAAGTGATGATGATTAGTTAAGATTTTATCATTAATTAGAAGTAAGACCACCTGCACTAATACTGTACATGGTCAGCATCTCTGCTCAGGAGCTGCCACCATGCCCTGCTTGGGCCCTGTCACTTGCCAAAAAAAAAAAAAACAAACAGAAACAGCTAAAGGGAAGAGCAGCTTGTTCAAAAGCAGCAGAAGAGCACTCAGACCTGCCCTTAGATAACAAACATACTCAGGAATAAATGAAACGTGTTGCTTGTCTGGCAGGAGTGCACAGGTTCTTTCTTGCAGGAGCCCCTTGGAAGCCCTTCCGCTCACTGCCTTGTTAACTGTGGCTTTCTCCTTTTGCATGGAAAGGAAAAAGCACACAGTTAACGTTATAAATGGAGAACATGGTGAACATGGTTACATCTCCTGTTCAGTCCTTTCATAGTGTTTGGTTGTTATTGGTTTTTTTTTTATTTTAATTTGAGATGAAAATAATTTTCTGAGTAAAATACAAATAGTTAAATATGTTTGTCTTTGAAGTATTGAACTTGGACACGCTTGTAGGCGTATAAGCAATTCCTCTGCCACTGTGGTTATCTGTTCCAGCATTTCTGTCTGCCAGTTCAAGATTAATTTTCATGTAATACAAAAATAAACACCAGAACAAAGTCAAGAGCAAGTAGAATAGCAAACAACATGAAGGGATCTTTTCATTTGCTTTCGGCTCCTCAGTGGCCCAGCTCAGCCTGTTGATACCACACTTCTCCAAACCTCAGCTGTCCTCAGACACTCGTGACTCTGTGGTTGTCTCCACTTTTGTTTACACAGTCTGAGGTCCCGTTAATGATGCTACATATCATTTGCTCTTAAACAAAACTGGCCAAACAAAAAATTACTGGCACAGAAGTATTCTGTGACTTTGTCTAACTAGCTCATTCCTATTGTGTCTTGTCCTTTCTTGCTGTTCCCTTTCCCTGTTCTTCATCTCTTTCCAAGCAAACATTGAATAACTCAATCTGCTGCAAAAGCTCTTTGCAAATAACATTCCTAGCATATTTAGTCCTCTTTTCCTCCCCCCCACTTTGAATTATACACAAGCTACTTGTGATTTTTATGACTTCATTGTTCTCGGTTGTTCATTAGGTAGCTCAGTGAATTAGCTAGTAATTCACTAGCTCAGTGAATTACAAAGAGGACACAACTTGGGTGGCTTCCTCCCTCCTCAAGAGGGGCAATAAGTATTGCCCATGCAAATCTTGCAAAAGGGAGCCAAGAGCCGGAGAGATCCAACACGCCGAAGCTGGGAGGAATGCTGGTGGGAGGATGCTGATGGGTGGATGTGCACTATTTCACTCATCAAACCAGGCCCCGTGGTGATGTTACACCCTTGGAAGAGAACGATCTGCATGAGTTCTTTTTGAACTACTTAAAGACCTGTGATGATGGAAGGAATCTAGTGATCATCTATGAAGTGACTTCCAACATGAGGAGAGTTCCACTGCAAATGTTCCCTAAGTTACTTGTCCTACCATTTGCGAGTTTCGTTTTCCAGGAAAAGTCTTGCCTAAGTTTCTGTTTCTTTTTTCTAAGGGGTGTAAATACCAGGAAGCTGATTTCATTTGACAATAATTAATAAAGTTTTCACTCAGCTCCCTTCATCTTGTATCTTATTGTCAGTAATTCTTAGTTTTTCTCTCTCATGTTATTTCTTTTTTTTTTTTTGCCGAGAGATATTCAGTCTTTGCCAGCTGAGACTTGTTCTTAGATATTGGTGACCAAAGCTGATGCTGTGTGCATTGAAAGTGCCCTTAGTCCATCTTTCTAGAAATACCCACAGATTCAGGCCATCCTGTAAATACATAATGTGCAACCCTTTTTTTGGCTTGAGCTTGTCATTTGCAAGTCTAGGTTCAAAAAGTGTGCATCAGATCAGACAAACCCATACATACAGCTTGGAGCTATTAGGACAGAAGTCAGATAAGTATCTTTAACTGTTTTGTATGCCATTTAAATCTCATCATGATTTTTGTGAATATCCTGAATTGTGACAGTGGCTGAAGAATGACTTTTCAGGTTTTTTTTTTTTTTGTGTGTGTGTGTGTGTGTGTGTGTGGTGTCTTCTCTGATTTATTAAAAGAAAAGCTTTGTTGTGAAGAGAAATAGCAAATTTTTTTTTCTCCTTCCTCACTAGGGAGAGGAAGTGACTCTGAGACTGACCTGCCACACAGAAAGATGCCGGATGTGAAAAAAGATGATATGTCTGCAAGGCGGACCTCACATGGGGAGCCTAAATCAGCTGTGCCTTTTAACCAGTACCTCCCAAACAAGAGCAATCAGACTTTCTATGTACCTGCTCCGCTTCGGAAAAAGAAAGCTGAACGAGAGGAGTATCGGAATAGCTGGACCACTGCCACTTCACCGCTCGGAGACAGACCATTCAGGTAAGACTGGCTTGTCCAACATCTCCCTTCCACTGTGAGGATGATTTAAATACTTAATTTTCGTTCTTTGCATAAAAAGTATGGCGCATCTTCTGGGGTAAAAGATCTTTTGCTGAGGTGGTCCTGGTAAATTCTTTGCAGCAGTGGGGGAAGATAATAGAAGAGCAATAATGAGTGGAAAATCATTGTCTTGATATCATTAATGTTTGCCACACAGTGTGATCCATATATACATGGTTTATGTTTGACAAGAGGTTGACTAATGTAAATATGATGGGTGTCAACTCAAAACTGAGACTGAACAGAAGTGTTTGGACAATCTGTGTCATTGCCAAATGATTCTTATAAGTAGCATTTAATGTATTTAATCAAAATTGGTAATATTTTGCTATTTTTTTAATTATTTGTGTCTTGTATTCTATATAAGAGTACTGTTCACAGAGCAGCACTGTATGCTTCTGCATGTTGGTTTGGTCAACTGATATTTCACTCTCCACTTGGCTTCTGAGCAGTTTCCATTAAAGAACATAGTTATCCTCCCGGGTCATTCATCAAAATATCCTTTGAAGTTCTGATACCAACGAAATGTGCTTACAATAAATGCATATGTATCAGGCACAATGTACATTCAACTGCCTTGTATAATTCAATAGCAAAACGCACCCTGAAACCATAGAGGAAGAACAAAACGAAGCATCAGGACCCTGCAAAAAGGAGGTTGTGGGCTCCGTGGCTTTGGAAACAAGCCCCACTAAAAATGAAGTAGGTTTGAATCCAAACAAAGAAAACTCCATAGGCCAGTCTGCTGCATGCAGTGCTAAAGAAACACCAGCATCCAAAGGGAAAGATGAAGAAGAGCTCAGAAAATTAAGAAGACTTGAACAAGCTGGCATTAAGGTCATGTCAGCAGCCCAGCGCTACGGCAGGTTAGCCCATCTGCGTGGGAGGTTGTGCACGCCTCACGTTTTTAGGATTGGCTCGAGTGTGGGTTTCCTCCTTCCCCTGGTTTTTCACTTCTCCTAACAAAAGCTCAGCCTGCAACACTCACAATTGCTAGTGTTTTAGTGAAGGGCATGGTGTGAAAAGGCTTGTGATACAGTAGTTGTGCTCTGCAGAGCTGTACGATGCTAACTACATCGGTGTGGAGAAATTATATTGTGTAACCGCCTAGCAGAAACAAATTGCAAGAAAACAAATCCACAGAATGCTGGTTGCTTTCCCTTTGGTGCCTTGCACTCATTAAAGAAATACATGTGTGTATGTGTGCTTGTGTTTTTGCATATGTATACATATATTTATATGAAAATGCCTTACTCGGGGAAGAGTTTCAGGAATTCACTTCACTTGTTGGTGATGGGATGTTTTTGTTTACTGAATCACACTTCTTATGTGGTTAATATTTTTAGCCGTGTTAATAAATGATGCAGGAACTGTAAAAACACACTTCTTGTTAACACATATATCAATTAAGACATGTAAGTGTAGTGCAGCAATCGTAAACTAACTGCATCTGGCATGTAGTATCAGTAATTATTCACTTATTACCTATATTGCTTTTTTTTGGATTCTGTTCAGTTAGGTTTTTTTCCTCTTCTTTAACTCAAGAGCTGAATGATGGCTTGGCTCATAGCCCACGCCTTTCCATGAGCCAGTGTGGGATCCTCATGAAAACGGTCTCTTTCTCATGGGGATGGCCGACAGAGCAGAGCTTTAACCAACACGTCATAAGGGCAGGTGCTTAAAAATGATGCAAATGGTTTGAGTAAAGGTCAAGTTTCCATATATCCTTCATTCAAAATGTTTTCTTTTGAATTTCTGAGGAAGATATTCATCAAGTTTCTGTTCAGAACTGTGCAACTTTCAGATATTCAGTAAATTGTAGGGTAAGGACCTGCCAGTGGCTAGTTTAGCAGGTGCCAGTCTACAATCTGGGCTTTGAAGCACTGCAGTAAAAAGGACAGCTCTGACAACTGGTTTATCAGTTTAATGACACTTGTCTGCTATCTTGTATGGACATGTCATATGCAAATAGGCCAGTCACATTTATATATACATTCTATGGCAGCCCTGTTCTCAGGCTTCTTTTGCTGTTGTCAAGACTAGTGTTTTTGTGTGGCTGTAGGTACTAATACATAAACAAATAGTAATAAAGAGGAGACTGTCAGCTGTAAGTTACTCCTTTTGACTCACCCAGTGTTCTGGTTGATCAGGAGTCCATAAGCTAGTAGGATATTAGTGTAATCACACTCTGAGTCCAAGGTTGTAATGTTAATGGTAAACTATAGCAGTAGTTTTGTGTTTAGTGGTGCTGTGCAGAACAAGTACTGTTGTTTGCATTCATATTTGGCAGATGCTCACCACCCTACGTGACAACCCCTTCTCCAACCTTGTGTTTCATGTGCTGGTATAATCTGCAAGACAAAGCACATGTGTGCATGAGATTTGGTCCTGACAGGGCTGAAGGAGATGGGAGCAGATATAATGAGCCTTTTTCCTTCCTTGCTCTCAGAAGAAGTATCTCCTGGCCTTTGGCAGCTGGAGAAGGGAGAAGCTGATGACTCTCTGCCCTAGCTTAAGCTCAAAGAGCAGAGCTTTGTAGCTCAAACTTCATCATAGTGAAACAGCAGCCTCACCTGGGGACTGTAGGAAAACATGGTGGAAAAGGTGCCAGGTACAGAGGTCTGTAAGAAAAGTGATTTTTATATGTAAGTGGAAGAAAAAGGATACAGGGGAGCCTTGCATTAGCTTTTGTAATGTCTCGCTCTCAATTCCTGTTCTTTGAACCCCCATTTTTTTTTTCTCGGCATCAAATTTAATGTTTTTGCAGTGATGGCACTGAGCAACTCTCAGCCTCTCTTGCTTCTGTATTCTGATCTTTTCTATTTTGGCTCCTTATCCTCCCCTTACCTTTCCATGATGCCAGCCTCTCTTCTTTTTCCCACCTGAGGTTGTCCCTTGTCCTCCACTTGCTCTGAGCTTCTCAACAGATTTTCCTTTCAGTGTTTTCATCTCTGGAGGACAGACAGGCAGTGTACCAATGAGATCTGTAAGGCATCTAACTGTTCCGAAAGTTGAAACTAACTTGAGGACCTTTCTGGGTCCAACACAGGAAGAATTTGAGCGTGTACATTATTTAAGTGTTTACTTGCATCCCTGGGGCACATTCTAGGAGAGGACAGCATTGAACTCGACATTGTACAAATGCATGCCAAAAAGCATTCCCCCTTCTAGAGGACTGTATTTATTCTTTATAGCGTATTTTCTTGATGCATGATCCGCTTGCTTGCTGTGTGTCTCTGTCTCTTATTTACACTCTCACATCTGAAAGGTAGGCATCTGATTCCTGGAGACTACATGAAAAGAGCAGGAGAATTAGGTCTGTTCTAGAAGACCACAAAGTGAGGAGAGTGAGAGAGAGAGGAGCAAAACAGGAAATCCTGGCCTGTCTGCTAGGATAGTGATGTGAGTTCTTAACTTTGATAGTGCATAAGCTGTAAAATCCTTTTGCTGTTCTGAAATGTAATGGAGGAATCCAGAAGCCTGTGCGAGACCCCGCTTCAGGGAGGGCCCACGGGCTGACACTTGTGAACGTAGCTCCTGCTGCATCCGCGTGGACCAGCGAGGTGTTTCTGCAAGGCTGGGGCTGGGGGCGGGAGAACAGCTTGCAGATAAATCCAAAGTGAATTCTCCTCCGCTGCAACTCGCAGCTACACCCCTACACAGCCACACAGCTGCCTACAGGGTAGAGTGAGCTTGAAAGGCTCTCTTGGGACTGTCACATTCTGATTTAGGAGACCCAAAAATGTCACAGCTTATCTCTGATTCCATTATAAACAAAATGTTAATGAATAGAAAGTATACTTAACACAGAATCTGATCCCTGAAGTGTGGTTCATATTAAAGGTTTCAGTTATTCAGACAGTCATCACAATGACTCATAGTTGTTCTTTTGAATATCATGACTCCTTATTTCTCTGTTAATGAAAATAAAAACTACTCAAAAGTTTTAATAGTATTGGTGAAATGAGACTGAAAAATTCTAGTTTTTATTCACTGAATAATCACCTGTTTATGTATAATTCTTAGAAACTAAAAGTGTAAAATACCACAACCAAACCAGCCAAATAAATGAATCATCTTACTGATCTTCATTTAAGAAGTGAATATAAGCATGATATAATGGAATATTTTGTGATTTTACAAATGCCTTTTATGTCCAGATTTCTGAAAATTGTTTCCAAATTATTACATTGTTAAGAAAAAAAAAAAGTTATAGTTTCAGCAGTAATGTCTGGTAAAAAGCTAATTGAATTTAATTGTACTTATCCTAGCTTATTTAACAGAAACACCAGTAATATTTGAAGTTTAGATTACTGTTGTTCTTTGAGCCCAGCACCTTAGGCACAGTGCATTTACTCTGGATCAGTTTATCTTCTCTTTAGTTTTCATATTCTTAAAATGGAGAAGCAAAAGATGTCTCAGGAGGCCACGGAAGGAAAATCAGACTTTCTTTATTTAGGACTCTCTCCATGGTGGTCATCTTGTGCTTACCGTCTTACAGATTTAAAAGGCAAATTGGATTTAGCAAATCACACTAATGTGTTGACAGCTGGTGCTTTAGGATTGAGAGATGTAATATACCTGTTCACCTGCGAAATTTGAACCAGAAGAAGCTGTTAACAGGCCTATTGCTTTTTGGTATGAGTCGGTACCATTAATAAACTTCTTACGGTATTTTTGGAGTGCTGTCCCCTTCTGCTTGGGAGAGATTCGTGGAGGACTTGCCTTTGGCTAACGCCGGCGCGCGCCCTGCGCGCTGCCGAAGCGGCCCAGCGCTCCACAGCGCGGCAGGGCAGGCACGGACGGGTTCCTGCGGCTCCTCCCTGCCCTGAGTCTCGAGAGAGGTTGACCTGGTGCATTCTCCTGCAGTCGTTTTTGTCAGGGCTGTGAAAGGGCAGCTGCAGCCACAGCAAAGCAGTGTATGCAGAGAGTTTGCAGGG